AAAACTATATGGTAGAGAGAGGAAGATCTGGGCTACAAAATGAGGTATTTTTGAACTAATTATCTCCTAAGCTTAATTAACCAGCAATTGTACATTAACACTCCGTGTATTTGAATGGAGTACCTCTATAAATACCAAAAAAAGGAAGAAATTTTCGAAGAGTGCCTCTAATAACCCCGAAGTACTCTGTATGTCTGTTTCAATAGTGTGATAAAATGCTGTTTATTTGTAGAACTAAATTAGTTAGTTTTTTTAAGATTTTAAATGATGTTCGTAATTCTCAAGAGTTTCCTATAAGATTTTAAAAGATTTTTCGCATGATAGGAGTTTGTAAGATGTTGTATCACCTTTTGACTAGAATGCATATGATCCAGCGACGTCTATCCCCACCTGAATAATTGAGGCACTTTGTATCACCTCCGAGGTTTGATTCCTCAGTGTGTAACCTGAAAAATGAATTTCTACAGCAAAAAAGCGTACCTTACTTTTGTTTGAGGCATTGTGCCTTAAGCTTTCCACAGGATAGACGCTCCTGATTTGATCTTGTATGATATTACAAAATCTTGTGTTAGACATTGTCGACTTCTGTATATTTTGTTATCATAAGGATATAGATGTCAATGTATGTTTTACATATTTTGAACCATAGAAAACTCTGTTAGATAGGATTCTGGAACTGATTATTGAATCAATAGGTTGACCCTAGTGTCGTCGATAAACTGGCTAGTGTCTTTGAAAAAAAAATTACGTTTCATTTTTCGCCACCAGTTCAACAAAAGCCATTTACCTTTCTCTGCAAATTTCTCGTCCGATTTCAAAGCCCTTGAGCAAAGCGCATATATACGTTCGATAGAGAATTTCACGCGCTACAAAAACAACGATAACATATTATTTTAAAAGTTTGCTTTCATAGGTGTGTTGGACAAATACTTGACAGGTATCGCGATTTGTTCTCCTATAGTGGCACGTAAAAATGATTGTAGTTTCTTCTACAGACAGAGATTAAGCATAGTTTGTATATAGAAAGATGCAGAATTGAAAGGGTTTCATTTTTTGTTCTTGACTAAGTACGTCTATGGCTTTATTTCCTCTCACCATGCTTACTTTTATTCTGTTGTAATCACGAAAAGAAAAGAAACGAAATTCAGTTAAAAGCAATTCTCCTCTCCTGTCATTTTATACATATGAGTCATAGAGCACTGTTTTCTCCGTTATTCTGTATGTTAAGTACGATCGAAGAGTACGCTTTTTAAGTACTGACCTTTTGTTTTCTCTTGCGAAACGGTGATGGACATATAAGTAACTCATACTATCGTCTCTTCAACTATATTCTTGTTCTTTACTTTTTAAAAATGCTTACCCTTATATTATTTTCAATTATTTCAATTCTTTTTGTGACATACATTCTCTTCAATCGCAAACGCTACCAGTATTTTAAATCACAAAATATCCCTGGTCCGTCACCTTCACTTTTTTCGGGCCATCTACAGACGTTATGGGGTGCTAAATCTTATTCGCTACAATTAGCCGAGTGGACAAAGCAATATGGCAAAATTTATGGTATTTTCGAAGGCAATAGACCGTTATATGTTGTTTCGAACGTTGATTTCTTACAAGAAGTGTTTATCAAACAGTTTTCTAACTTTTACACTCGAAAATTAACAATTTTCACAAAGTTATCTAAAGGAAAACGAGTTAGTTTGTTCGCGGCTGCAGGTCCACGTTGGAAACGGCAGCGAAATGTGATTAATCCCACATTTTCTGCCCTGAAAATGAAACAAATGTCTCCATTGATAAATGACTGTATAGATGAATTGATGAAAAAATTACCAAATTACAGTGACAGTCAGGAAGAATTTAATATATACGCTTTATACAAACGAATGACGATGGATGTTATTTGTAAGTTACTTTTATTTGAGAAGTGAACGAAAACCTTTTCTACTCTATGTTAAAGGTCGATGCGCTTTTGGTGTGGATACAGACATGCAGAATAATCCTGATAACATTTATTTACAGAAATGTGCCCAAATATTAGCCACTAATTCTCGGCAACGAGCATTAGTAAAACTCGATGCATTATTTCCCGTATTCGGTTCGCTTTTCGGCGATATACTATTATTCCAAAATAATGTTCGCCGAAAATTAAATCACTTATTTCCATCATCAACGAGTAAATTCGGAGAACTACCAGGTTTGTGGTTAATGAATCAAGTTCATAAAGTCATTGAAATGAGATCCGATGAGGCTAAACAGAGAGTCGATCTTCTACAATTAATGTTGGAAGCTGCGAGTCACGACAACATAGAGGTAGAGGAAAAGAATTCTAGTTATTCTAAAGAATATGATTTTTCTTTCTGTTAGGATTCACTAGGCGATGAACAATCTGTTCCAAAAAAGCTAACGCACGATGAAATAATAGCTAATGTCGTTCTATTTATGGTTGCTGGTTACGAGACAACGTCAACGTCATTGGCTTACAGCACCTATATTTTGGCTAATCACCCCGATATTCAGCGAAAATTACAGGAAGAAATCGATCAAAATTATCGAGATGATGTCGATACACAGAATCCCGATTATAATTTTGTCAACAACATGCACTACATGGATTTGTTTATCCGAGAGGTTTTGAGAATGTATCCCATAGCTGCGTCTGTAATCAATCGTCAATGTATGACTGAAACAGATGTCTGTGGCTATAAGATAGCTAAAGGTAGAATTTTCAGAGATAAGAAATTCAAAATAGACTTTAATTTAGTTTTGTCCTTCTAGATGCTGTCGTACAAGTGGATGTTTACGCCCTTCATTATGATCCAGAGTTGTGGGGACCCGAAGATCCGAATGAATTTTGTCCCGAAAGACATTCAGTCAAACGACACCCGATGGCATACATGCCCTTTGGAGGCGGACCGAGAAATTGTGTTGGAATCAGATTCGCTTTAGTTGAAATGAAAATTTTACTTATTAGACTACTCAAACACTATACTATCGTTAAGGACGATCAACTTGAGAAAAATTTTAATATTACCGAGATTGCTGTCATTGCACCTGAGGAAGTTTGGGTTAGGATTGAGAAACGTAAACAGTCATGATCGAATTCTAAGTTTATCATTTATATTACCACTGTGTACCAGTATTTATCCTCAAACGTTCACTAAATCTAACTTCTTTTTTGGTATTTTTGCTCAATTAAACACCTTGACTGAAAAAGATTTCAAAACCAAGATACACAAACGGTCGATGTCGTCACAACAATGAGTATTCTCAATGTGAGATTACTCTGCCGCACAGCAAACTGATCTTAGAGATAATATTTATGCATAACCATTCCCTGACAGCCCTCACTGTAGTGGACAAATTGGTCCTCTTGGCAATTCCACGTAGAAAACAGTTCCAAATTTTAGGGTCATTTCTTAATTAGGAATTTAAGTTTATATGCATATACGCTTAACCCCGTGCTTAAAAT